GGGTATGCATTGAAGCTAGCACACTGGCCACAACAGAAGCGAAAACCAATCGTGCATTACGCATTAAGACAACTGTTACTGGTCAGCATTACTACGATGAAAGAGATTTAGTTGATTACCATCGCCCCGCAACCACGAAGGACGACTGGGGAGGCAGGAATGGCCCATTCCCAGTTGTAAGGAACGATCCCGAAAGGGGTCGAGTCATCATTCGAGTGGGAAGCCGCGATGTTCAGGTACAATACGGCGATGCACGACATTCACTCTATATCGAAGCTTTAATAGCCAGAGAAATTGGCTCCGACAGCGCTGCGCTACGGACAGGCATGACGTTCGTGGCCAGTTTACCTGCGGGGGGACCTGCTATGACATTTGGCCATGTGCAGACCAAGAAGGGGATGCTTCAGATGACAAGTGCAAGCCGTCTGTCTCCTAAGGTACACCTAGCTTTATAATACCCTATCAGGAAATTCTTCCGCATCGAGAACGTAGTTTCGGTCAGGTTCGGTAGGGGTATCCATGCCTCCGGTTGCTTACGCTGACAGTTGCACATTGCTCTTCTATGCCGACGATGTGGACCCAGGATTTCACTATTGCGAAGCAGAAGGCGCCGCTCTGAAATCCAGTGCCTGAAGTGCACCAAACTCAAGCAGGCTCTGACCAGGACATGACAAGGTTAGGAATTGGCGGATGCACCGACTCCGAATGAAACTGCGAGAGAAGCCTCAGAAGCCGAACCACCGCAGGATGATAGACGGCTTCCTACGATTTATGAGGATTCGGAGGCTGATCTCGAGTCACACGTCATGGAAGTGTGGTATGCAGAACTACAAGGCGAAAAGGAACTGCTGGAGGCAACTCCACTAGAGGGCCTTTTCAAGATGCCCACGCAGATGGTTCTATACCATAGTGCGCTGATCACTGTAGCTGAAGAAGAGCGGGGACACCTGCCTAAGTGGGGGCACCCACGCGACTCCGACACGGAGGAGACGTATCATATCCCATTGTGTTCCATGGTCGAAGACTACAGTTACGGACTGGACCCATACGAAAATGGACAACATGTAGAACTCTGCTTCACGACAGAAATGTGAAAAGGTAGTCCTGTCCAGACAACAGCACATGCCATTCGATGCCGACCGTGTGACCACGGTGCGAGTATACGTTGCCGCCGCTGCAAAGCGAGCTGTAGTCGTCGAGGAAGACGACCTCCTCGCGAATGGTGACATCCAGGCAAATCCCGAACAAGTATCTAAGGCCCTCTACACCGAACTCAAGACATTGTTTAACAGCAAATGTTTCAAACTTCAAGACATATCTAAAGCGTCAAGCGTCATGACTTCGAGGTATGCGTACGCATGGAAGTTTGTGAACAACGAGACGGGCGAGACGGAGCGTGCCATCAGATTACGCCTGGCGCGTCGAGGCTTCGTGGACCTTGAAGCCTTCGACGTGGAGACCTTTTCGGGAACAGCGCGGCGGTCTTGCCGGGGACTAATCGCGAGCGCGGCAGCGTGCAAGAAGCAGATGATCATGGCTCCCCTCGGCATCACCATGGCATCCCTGCAAGGGGTTGACCTGCCAGGAACTTGCTGGGGCAACTGGTGACAAGGAACGTGTGGCGTGTTTTACTTCGCCGCCTTGATCGGCCACAGTGCTTCGAGCTCTCCCACGATTCGAGCACGACGACGAGTCAAAGCACTGGTTGCAGTACCTAAACCAGGCACTGGCACCAAAGACGCACCCAGAGCTTTCTCACTAAAATTCAGAAGGACCACAAGGGGTCTTGGTCTCCGACCCATGTCCGACGACGAAGAGTTCGAGACGAGCAGCAACTTACTTACGGCCAAACATGTTGTTGATATCGGTATGGCCAGTATTGCCCACGCCATTGACAAGTATGCCAAGTGCGTAGAAGACATTTTTGGTAAGTGTAAACTCAGCAAGCACTCGTGCACCAATTGTGCTGCGATATATCTCACGGATGAGGACGGCAATGTTACTTTGGACCAAGACGAATATATCAAGCAGCTCCGTCCTATACAACTTCCTGGACTTACTTACTGGCGCCGTCGCTGACGCTCAGGCATCCAAGACGGTTGCAGACATTTTCGCCAGCCTCAGAGGCGCGCTGACGTATGCATAATCACCCAGGTGTGGTTTATGGTGTACGTTGTATCTCGACAGCGTGTCCAAGAGCCGACCACTATACACGTGCGACGACTGAGCGCGATCACCAGGAAACTGCAGGCCTGTCCCAAGAAGATCGTCTATCAGGCGATGACCCCAACGGGCGAGGTAGACCTGCACAGTGACTCAGGCTACCGACGCCTGGGTGGAGACGCCGATGACGACGTCAAAGGCTATGGTGCTCGCGGGGCAAACCTGCCACGGCGTGGAAACGCGCCGTTTGGCAAGCCATTCGTCCACTTGATCGATGCGTACTGCAATGTTTGATCGCTTGCAGGTCCTCTCGAGCTATTCAGCGGAGACACCGGCAGCTGCCCACAGTTTGGTGGACTGCTATCCCACGATCGTGGCCCTGCACGAGCTCCACGCAGGGCCGCTCACTCACACTCAGTTGAAAGACATACTTGAGTTGGGTTTCCTGAGCATTAAGGTCGCTTTGACCACAGATGTTGAGTCTGCTTTCAAGTCCCTGTCAAGCAAGACTTGAAGACACCGACTGAGTGTACCTTTTCAGCACACATCAGTTGGATGCGACAGATGATGGAGAGTGAATCGTGCACAGTATTCAGTGGTGCGACACCCGCGATATGACTGCGGACTGTCACACCAAGGGGAGCATAAACAGAGAGATGCTCCTACAGGTTATGGGAGGCTTACAATCCTTCAAACATGACTTCAAGAGCCACACACCCTATCGGGCTGGCCAGACATCCTGTTCTGTGGCCGCCTGAGGAGTCTCTTTATGTACAGAATGGTACAGGCAAGGCAACTTGCGCGTGGGTCCACCTTCCTTACGGCCCCGCCCTTTTGCTGCCCTGTTGTGCATCGTAGCTGCTGTGCTTGTTGTATAAAGGCGGCGGACACACGCCTCGTCTCCCTTCCCCCCGTCTCTAAAGTGAGCTGGGGACACATGTGAGCGGAAGCGAACATGTGCCCGCGGCTGCTTGGCTCAAGCGGCCGACCGCTTAGATCTGAGTGACCTCATCGCGAGGTGTACGAATTGCCATCGATACCACGCTATTGCTTGAGATGGTTCCCCTTCTCCTACTGGGACTATCGTTGCTGCGGTACAACAGAGCAGGAGCTTGGCTTCGCCTATGGCGAAGCTGTTGGTTGGGCCTCCCAACCCCTTTCAAACTGCCAAGGCCCCCCGGGGGCGACCCTGGTCACCCGAAGTGCCGTAGTGATGATCTACGTGTGCCGTCTGCGTGTAATCTTAAATCGGGCCTGTCCCCCTACAGGGGGAATCTTAAAAATAGTCAAACAATAGTCTGGAGATCATTTTTTGCGTATTTTGGGGCATGTTTTGAGTATTTTCAGAGCTATTTTATTTTTCGTCCAAAATCTCCTTGTAGGGGACACGCCCGACTTAGATGTAGTCGTGGCGCGGTGCGTTCTCCTCTTCCCCTCCCCGCTAGCCCCCACTTGCCCATTCTGGCTCACCTTTCAGATTGTTAATCTGGGGTGATCTGCAAAGCGGCCAGGGAAGGTTCGCTTCGCATCAGCAGGAATACGTAATTTGCGTATCCCAGCTGCTGCCACTGCCGCCCCTTCCGTCGGGGGTGTCCAAAGGGCTGGTGATGATTTGGGCGGGTGGATATCCTGGCCGGGCCCTAAATGGCCTCGATTTCACAGCCCCCTCTTCTTCTTTCAACGGGCTTCCGAGAAACCCCGCCGCATTCTGAGAAGGTCTTCCCCCTCGGTTCGCCGCCGAATGAAGGCCGGTCGGGGGGCTGTTTCGGGGAGGGCGCATGTACCGATGCCGCTACCCTTGCCTCGTGCTCAGCTTTTTGGGCCTCCTGGGCGCCCTCGTCGCCACGGCTGGATTCGCCTCGAAGTCCTGGCCAGAACGCACCCCTGGAGAGGTCCGGGGAGTAGCGGTATAGTCTTGTTGTCCCCCAGTGTGGGTGGCCCAAGGGGGGAACCATCGACCTCCAATCGCCCATTGATCGCGAATCAGGGCCTGGTTGCCCCACCCCGTCCAGGAACATGCGGTTTCGCTATCGGGAGCCTGTCCCCGATCTACCGGCGAAGTGTCGCCGATTGCAAGGTCATGTTCCGCCCCCGAGCCAGTGCCCCCTATCGTTTCCCTTCCTTTTCTGGGAGGGCGCACAGGGGGGGGGGGGGCGATAGCGTCGGACTCCAACGGGATGGGTGAGATCCAGACGAGACGGGCGACAATCCAATGGGTCAGACGCGTAGCGCGGGTCAGACGTCTGACCCCATCGGACGCCTCTAAGCTTAATGGAGTACTATTTGCATTGTTATGTTAGCCCAGCAAACTCCACTGAACTCCGAGAGCAACTAAAGGATATATCGCCATGCGTCGTTTGTGTCTCAGGAGGAATCCGGAAGACTCCTGACGAATGCAGATGAATCTTGAGGAACCACGAAGAATCAGGAGGGATCCCGAGGAGACCCCAGGAGTCCCACAGGAGTCCTCTGGGATACTGAGGATCCCTCGTTCTCTCGGAAGCACCGCATGAGCTTCCAAGGAGCTGGTCGGAACCTTCTCTCTCGATCGCTTGTAGGCTCAACTAAGCTTTCACGACCATGTCGTTTGGATCTGAGTTGTCCGATGTGGCCAAATTTCACTTGGGTGTCACCCGTCCTGTTTTTGGGATCTGGCCCTTCCCGTTGGGTTCTGACCGTCTCTTATGGGAGGGGCTTCGCTGGGCGCATTCTCTGACACGTGGTGTCGCCGCCCAGCGCCTCCAGGTGTAGGAAGCCAGCCACATGCAGCGGATTCGCTGACCTGCCTCTCTGCTAACCCCCCCTTCGTTCACCCCGACCGTTGGGACGGAGCCCAGGCCGAGATAAATTTTCTGTGCGTCCACAAGAAGCTGCGCTCGAAGCGGCTCGCACCAGTGCTGATCAAGGAGAGGGGCCGTGGGGTGGGAGAGACGGGCTGCTTGGCACGAAGGGCGAGGTTGGGGAGGGGCCTGGGGGAACGGGATTCGCGGAAATGGAGGGAGAGCACGAGGGGCCTGGACGAGGGGGACCAGGACGTACAAGGCATCAGAGGCCGCAACGAGGATTGCGATGGCGAGTGCGGAAGCAGGAGTTGGGGCGCATTTACGGCGCGAGCGGCATGCCTGTGGTCCTGGCGGTCTTTACGCTTGCTCCAGAAAGTATAAGCAAACACCCCTCTGCCCTGAGTTTCGAATCATATCCCAATCAAGTCGTCCGTTACATCTCCTTGCCGCCAAAGGAGTGGCGCCATGTGATGTGCTTCGGGAGGTTGACCAAGCCTTGCTGGGGGATATTGGCAATTATGTTGTTACTCTTTGTTTTTGGTTTCGTAGCGTTTCGCTAGAAGGTCTGCCAGGGGGGTGCAAGCGTCCTTGAGGTGTGTCTAGCAAATCATTGTCTGGGTTGTCATTTCTGACATGTACCACGTGATAATAGCATTACCATGCCACGGGCTCACTTTGAGCTCGTGATGTTTCAGTCTTCGTCTATCAGGCCATGCCGAATGCACGATAAGCTTGTGATGCTTGAAAGGTGCATTCGGCGTCCCTGCACAGAGGTTCGTCGCACATAATGGTCGTGCTGAACAAAACTTCGGAGGCATGGGACATGTTTAACTTGTTGACGCTTCGCGCATTCCCCCAAGCCCATCCAAGCACGATTTTTGGACAAGTTGTCGCGATAATCGAAATGAGGAAGAACTAATGAGAGACAGGTGAGGGACACCAATCAATCCGAAATAGGGTTCAGCCGGATCAGCCCCCAACAATACAATCGCCAGCTCGGGGACCTTTGGAAGCTTCTTGGAGGCCTCTTGGAGCCATCTTTTGAGCTCTCTCTTGGGTCCCTCTTGAGGGCCTAAAGGGCGCTCTCGGGGCCATCTTGGAGGCGATCAATCAACGAATGGGGGGTAACTGATTGCACGGCGTGTTTTGGGCCGTTTTGGGCCATCTTGGGCCGCTTGGTGGGCTCCTGACCCGTCTGACGCCGTCGAAAGCCGTCTTGGGGGTCCCTCTGGGCCGACTTGGGGCCCTCTTGGAGTGCTCCAGGGCCGTCTTGGAGGCCATCTTGGGCGTCTTGGAGGCGCCTTGGGCCGTCTGGGGGCCGTCATGGGGCCCTTTTGGGGCCGTTTTGGGGGCCTCTCTGGCCGTTCTGGGGCCATTTTGGAGGCCTTTTGGGCCGTCTCGGGCCGTCGGAAGGCCGAAAAGAAGCAAATGCCAAAATCCTTCAAAAATCTCAGGAGAACCAATGATTTTGGCCTCTTCGGGCCCCTCCTGGAGGACGTCTAGGCGATCGCGGCGGAGTACAACCACTTGATGGACGAGCAGCCCGTGCCGGCGAAGGCGGCGGACGATGGCTCGGCGGCGCCGGCAGACGACGTGTCGGCCGCGCTGGCCCGCGCGGCCGACGTAGCCAATCAGCGGAAGGGGAGCGGGGCACGCGTGCGCGGGGTCGACCGCGCGGGCGACCAGCGGCTCGCGCAGGGGGGAGGCTCTTAGCACCGCGCGAGGTCGCCCCAGCAGCACAGCAGCGGTGCGGCGAGCGCAGGGCGCCACGCGCGGGTGGCCTGCCCAGCGCGTGAGCGGCCGGCACGCTCCTGCGGCGTCCGCCAGGTGCGAGCGGGCGCAGCCGAGGCGCCCCGCGGCAGCAGGTCGCGCGAGGAGGAGTGGCGCCCCCATGGGCTCTCGGCGCGTCAGCAGCGGGCCGCCGCCGGCGAGGATATGCGCTGGTCGAGGAGTCCAGCCAGAGAGGCGGGGCGCGGGGGTTCAGACGGGTGCCCAAGGAGCTCAGCCGCGAGCGCGGGCGCAGCGAGGGACAATCGCGCGCGCGCGCCGGCGGAGCGCGGGAGTGCGGCTCCCAGGGCCGCGGACGGCCGCGACGGCCAGCGCGGCAGGGGCACCCGGGGAGACGCGCGTGCCAGCGCGCAGGAGGAGAGGCGCGGCGACTTGATGGAGGAGAGGCGTGGCGACGTGAAGGAGGAGAGGCGCCGGCGCAGGTCGAGGAGCAGGCGCGGCAGGTCGGAGGCGGGCTTGCGCTCGGTCAAGCTGGAACCCACGGAGCAGGAGCGCAGCGGCGAGGCGAGGGTCGCGACGGAGGACATCCGCGACATCGCATCGGCGTTTGTGACCGTGTGTGCACGCCAGCTTCCTCTTCGACTGCAGACGGAAGCGGGGGCCGTTATCTCTCATCGAGTTCACCGAGCCATCGGCCGCAGCGTTAGTGGTGCGCGCGCTGAGGCGAGGCTGCCGCTTCTTCCCTGAGGACGACGACCCGCCGATCGAGACGGCGTGGGCTTCTGATCCCCGCGAGCCAGACCCAGGCTCGGACGGCGAGAATTCTCGATGCACGTGGATCCACCGCTGTGCGAGAAGTTCCAGAGGCGGATGCGCTGGTCCTAGTGCGCTCGGAGGGCGGGCGAGGACTGGGCTTGCTCGGCAGGGCTCTCGAACTGCAGGGCGTTGGACGCTAACGGTGAGGCGCTGAGGTGGCGCCGCGAAAGCTGCGACGAGGACCTTTGCGAGAGCTGCCGCATCGCGTGCGCGCCCGCGGACGAGGGCGAGGAGGGCGACCGGCGCTCGGAGGGGGTGCCGACAGGTGAGGATAACGGCGACCAGGGCCTCAGCCCGCTCTCGGGCGCCGCCGAGGAGGACGGCGACGCCGAGGAGGAGGCCGCGAGTGCGAGGGCCGGCACGTGCCGCCCGCCAGGCGACCTGAGCTGGCCGCCCCAGCGCGAGTCCCCGCCCGAGGCGGACCCCCCCGGCGGGCCTCCGAGGCGTCGCGCCGCACGGCTGCGCGCGGCGTCCCGACGGGCGGCCGTGCGCCCCCCGCGGCGGCTGAGCAGGAGGGCCAGAAGACTGGCCGAGGCAGGGGCGGCGGCGGCAGCGGCTCGAAGGGCGACGGCAAGTCTGGCGGCAAGGGCGGCGGTCGCGGCAAGGGCCACGGCAGGGGTGGCGACCGCGGCAAGGGCTCCAGCAGGGGCGCGGACTCCTGCGGCACAGGCGGTGGCCGCGGGAAGGGCCAGGGCAAGGGCACGCGGCGTGATAGGCTTCCGGGGCCTCAAGGGCGAGGCTCGCCGAAGCGCCAGCCAGCTCGCGAACCCCCGGGCCCCTCTTTCTCAGTGCGTCTGGGAAGGGCCCCGGGCGTGACAGAGCCACTTGGGCTCCCGCGGGCGCGCTCACGCGCGCGCGCACTCTTTTTCTTTCCTGCGTCTTCGTCGCCCCCGTGGCGACGCGCGTGGTCGCGCCTTCGCGGGGGCGCGTCTCCGCGCCGGCGGTCTTCGTCGCCCCCGTGGCGACGCGCGCGGTCGCGCCTTCGCGGGTGCTTTTCCGCGCCCGCGAGCTGGCGTCGTGCGAGGTTGGGGTGCTGTAGCCCTCGCCCAGACGAGGTCGCAGGTGGCCAGCCTGGGCCCCCCCTTCGCCCGCCGTCGGCGGGCGCTGCCCAGCCGGGGCGGCCTGGCGCCCTTTCCAGGAAGGCCTCAGGGTTGCAGGTCAGTGGCTGTGCGCACGGGGTGACTGTCCACCCGCGCTCGGCTGCGTTTCTGATTTTGGCCGTGCGGCAGCGAGCGTGCCAGAACGCGCGCGCGTCACTGTGCGCGCGCGCGGGCGGTGCGAACCTCGCGGCGACTCGCGCTCTGAAGGATGGCGCGCGTGGCCGTTTTGCCATGACAATTGTCCTTCTCTCGTCCTCGTCTTCTTCTCCCTCTCCTCTTCCTTCTCCGTTAACTTCCTTGAGCACTCACGCTGCGCGGCGCGCGGGCCGCGCGGCAGCGAGTGCGCTAGGACGCGCGCGCGCGGGCGGCGCGAACCTCCCGAAGACTTGCGCTCTTGAGGGTGGCGCGCGTTCAGTGCGCAGGTGCTGACACTCAATTCAGTTTCGGGGTCCTAGAGGCGGGTGCCAAGACCGATCTTGGCAGTGTGTTTCCATCGAGGGACGATGATGCCGACCTCGGTAATGGTGGTAATATTCGGGGTTCTTAGGTGGCCGAGCGAAAGCCACAGAACCGAAATCTATGATCATCTTCTACCGGTGCCCCCCCTGCTTGATATTGGTGCCCGTCTCCAAGTCTCCAACAATATGCGTTCCAGTCCAGGACGCGATGACAAGGTTCTTCCGAATGTGTCCGCGCACGATTGAAGAATGGTTGGGTTTTGCATCGCATGTCAGTGCTGCTGCCCCATCGCGCGCGGCTTGTGTACAGAAGTATGTACCATCAAGTTTGCCACCACCTGGTATTGTTCTGTCGCAGGGGCCGCTTCTTTGTGGCTTCGAAGTGTTACGAAATGAGGTCGCAATCGTGGTCATCCTTCTCCGAAGAAGAAGAGATGGCTCCTTTGTCAGATGTGATTCCCTTAGCCACCTACTGCGCCACGAGGGCTGGTTGGATTTCTGTCTCGCCGTATGCATCGGGGATCGTGAGAACGTTGGCTACTTAATCGGACCTTTGGCTGCGTGCCTGCTTTGCTGATTGAATGTATTCCTTTCCACGGGAATGGGATCCATTCCCCATGGAGATTCAGGTGAAAAGGCGTGACGCGAAAGTGTAGAATGGAATTCGTGCAGTTGGAAGGGGCGAGCAGTGGGGGATGGATATCAGGTCGGATGTTACAATTGCGTGCGCCAATCTTGCCCCTCCCCATCCGTCCTTTCCCCTGTGCAACCGAGTGGTACGCATGCCGCCCTGCTTTTTCCAAGCCTTACCATCAGGCCATCACAGCCCGCATTCGGTCTCTCCACAGACATATGTTCATTTGTCCTTCTGTTTGGTAAGATTATTTCCCAGACGGTCGGCTCGGAAACATGCTCGGCTGGACTCGTGTGGTCGTGCGGCCGTTGGAATCCTAAAGTCACTGGGCGTCCAAGCGCAGGCTTGCACGGCGTTGGCAATTGCTAACCTGCTACCTGCGATTCCCCAGGTGTCAGATGTCTCCATGCTGGCCGTGCCACGGCATCCAGCTACGTCTTGGCTCTGGAATATCATACTCGAGACGCAGTGTATCTCTCCACCTTTCTTCTGTCCCGTCACCGCTCCACCAGTACCCCGCTCTTTCCGGATGGCGCTGCCTCGCCCGAGGAGATCACCCGGCGCGTGAACAAGCAGGACACACATTTGCAGGGAGAGGGAGGCCAGAGGAGGGCCATATCGAGACAACGTCTGGCTTTCCCGCCCGGCCTACATCCGTTCGAAATCTGCCACCGGAAATTTCGAGGGATTGATCCCGACCCATTTTTCGGGGCGGATCCAGCCGTGGCGACGAGGAACCCCCAGAAGGCCCCGTAAAGATGACAAACGCCAGGGAAGGCCGCCGTTGTCTCGATTAGTCCCCTTTCTCGGGTCGGACGAGAGGGGGGGAGAGGAAACATGGGGTTACGAACAGCTGGTTTCTGCCCCGCCACTGGGCGCTTTCCTCGACAGTGTTATCCCCCCCTTGTCCCTGGACGCCCGAAATTGGTACGGAAGGAAGGGGCACGATGCCAAACAGCGAACGGTGTCCAAACCCGACAGCGGCCGCTGTTGGGCTGGCGACTTTTGGGCTTCAGCGGTCAACGTCCGCGGCGGCACCGTCAGCGAATCCTGTTCAGAATAGACAAGAACTTTGGAGCTTGCTGGGGGTCTTGAGGTGTGGCATCATCGGTTCTGCCGTTAGAGGGGAGGGAGGCACCCTTGTGTAACCCGAGTAAGCAATTAAGACCCCCCCTCTCCAACGAAAGTATAACGCATGCGGCACCCTGGAAGCGTTACCCTATAAACTTTCTTATTTTGAATTGCTGATGTTAGTATTAATGTTATAACTCCTATTCTTAAATATTACTGTTTTTATTGATAGTTATTATTCTTATCCTTCATATTAGTACTCTGATTCTTATTATTCGTACTCCTATTTTTATCATTATTCTTATTATTATTAATGTTCTTATTCTTATTCCAATTCCAATTGGGATACCACCCGAGCCGGGGCGCGGGAATTATTTATTTTCCTTCCATTTGCGCGGTGCTAATTACATCGTTCGGCGAACCCCCCCGAAACAATTATTTCATTACGGTGCGGTGCTAATGATAACCCCGAGGGGTTCCTTAATGGCTTCCTGATGTTACGGGTTTCGTTCCCTGTCCTTTCTGGGCAGAGTTCGCCCCGTTTCCCCTCCGAATTGGCTCTGCTGGTGCCCATTCAGACCAGACCCCCCAGCCGCGTGCAACTTTCCGTGCACATTTCGATCGTGCCGATGATCGTCCGACTCGATGTTTTGAGAGGCCGGCCAGTGCCATTGGGCTTCACTTGTCTGCTCCCAGGGGCCCAGGTCTTTGGTGAATCCGTCGGCTCCAGGCCGGGCCATGAACTTGCATCCGGCAGGGGCCTGGGTCTCGATCGGGCGCACGGGGGCGTGGCGGTGCTCGTCATGCCTCTAGGAGGAGGGTAAGTCGAGGTGGGTTTTTTGATTTTTCGTTGGTTTTCCTGCCTCGGGGTGCGTTCCAGCAGCTGCGCCTCGCCGAAAGCGTTCTGGGCCGCTCGCATCGTCCCAGACGGCCGCCGGAGGCCCGAGCCATGACCCGAAAGCCAGACATCCGCCGCTCCGATCATTCCGAGGAGGGCCATTCGAGACAACCGCGGCACTCCCCGGCGCCTTCCATCTTGCTGAGGCCTCTGCGGGCGTCTTGTCGCCACGGCCGGATCCGCCTTGAGCAGCGGGTCCAGGTGGGCCGCGGGCGGGGTCTGGGCCGCGATCGGGCGCACGCAGGCGTGGCGTTGCGCCAAGGCGAGATCCACATGTTGCCGCTGCAAACTCTCAAGACGAACGTGCGCGGCGCTATGGCGAGAGCGACACTTTGAAAATCACCTGCCCTCCATTTTGGAATCTGCTGCAAACTTTTGAGACGAGTGTGTGCGGCGCTAAAGCGAGAGACACATTTTGAGAACTACCTGCCCTCTATTTTACAAGCTGCCGCAAACTTTCATTAGACGAATTTGCGCGGCGCTAAGGTGAGAGCCACATTTGAAAACCACCCGCCTTCCATCCTTGAAGCTGTTGCAGATTTCAAGCTTCAGCATGACAAATGGTGAGGAAGCCTCAGGCGAAACGCCCTGCTCGCCCTACCGACAAGTCTGGGAGTGCGGCAGGGAGGAGTCATGTATCTCGGAAGTCATGTAGTGTCGACAAGCTTCTGGGAGTCGATCAGATAGCGTCGATTTAGCGTCGAGTAGCGTCGACCGGCGTCGATTTAGCGTCAATTAGCGTCGGTTAGCGTCGACTAGCGTCGATTAGCAAGAGCCGACAAGATGGTATGGGAGGCTCCCATGTGTTGCCGCCGAAGTGTATCAGGAAGAGGGATGAAGACCAGGAACGACTTCGCTTGTAGGCCATCCGAGCGCACGCCTGTCCCACGTGATTGCCCCTGCAGCCCACGCCGCTGGGCAGTGGCTTTGCCCTCAGTGTTTCTGCCGCGTGCCTGTTCCAGACCCCAGCTCGGCGTCTTCGATCCACCTCCAGGACGAGACCTTCTACTCCTGTGCTCCCTGGCTTCCCCGAGTTGCCCATCCGCATCTTGAGTTTGTTCCTCTGAACTGCTGGCGACGCGGCCAGCACATGCGTCCGCATCGGCCGGCCATCGTATACAGGACGGAGCAGCAAGTTCAACAGTGGGAAGAGATGGTTTTAAGGGGAACCCCGCAAAAAAAACAATCTCTCAGAACATTTGGCAGGCTGTCTACACTGCTGGCGTAGTGCTCCCGCGCCCAGTGAGTGAGTGCCGCTATATTGGAGCCTTGGGCGTGCTGAGCCGCCCGACCCATTTGGAGGGCGAGTGAGGTGATGCCGCCATCCTTTGTCTCTACTTGCTTCCCATGCTTCTCCTAGTTGTCTCTTTCTTCCTCCCGCCTGCCTGTCTCCTTTTGTCCTCTCCTCTCCTGCTTCCCTCTCCCATCCTACCAGGCCTCGACCACCAGTCCCTCGCCAGGCCTTCCTGCCCTCGCTTTCTCTGCCTGTCTCTCTCTCTCTCTCTCTATATGTCTCTGTCTTTGTCTCTGTCTCTCCCTGTCTCTTTTTGCATCTCTCTCTCTCTCTTGCTCTTTCTCTGTCTTTCTCTGTCTCTGTCTCTGTCTCTGTCTGTCCGTCTGTCTGTCCGTCCGTCCGTCCGTCGGTCTGTCAGTCTCTCTTTCTCGCTCTCTTTCGGTCCCCTTCCTGCGGCGTTTCTCTGGAAGGGACGAGCTCGGGACCCACGAGGTGGGACCACGCTCCTGCTCACGGCCTACTCCGTCTCTGGCGAGCGCCCCTGCCCTCATTCCAGATCCGCGCGCCGCCACTCCAGGGAAAACAGGGGTCTGCGGACCCTCGTATTGATATCGAGGATCCGGGATGGGGGACGCACTTTCTTCGAGCGGACACGCGCGAGACGCATTTTTTGACCCAGAATGAACCAGTGAACCTTCACCTCGTTTTGCATCAAGTGGAAATTCGCCAGCCCCTGTTGCCACTCGCTCTCCCCGTCGCCGCCGCGCCTGCTGCGCGGCGCCGCCCTGCTGCACGCTACCGTGCTCGTGACGCGAGGCCGGACGCGGAGGCCGCAAAACCGGCAGCGCGCCGCGCTCGCCTTGTGCGGGAGCCGGGGCTGGCGGATTACCACCGGAGCCTGAATCCCAAGAAGCTCATCGAGGTGGGCTTCTCGCACCTCGGGAATCGCATGACCATGGCGAGCGTTCTCTTCTCTCTCTCTCTGTCTCAGTCGGGTGCATACAGCTTGACAGCATGATGCACGTGTATGTGTAGGTGGACGTTTCGCTATGCACTTGCTGTTTGCCTCCGTTTTCGTCTATCCGTCTCCGCGTCCGTCTCCACATCCGTGTCCGCCTCCGTCTCCGTCATTGCTAGTGTCCACGTTTTTGTCGCTGTCCCTGCCCGTGTCTTCTCTTCCTTTGTCTCTTTGGCTCTGAGTGTCTCTCTCTCTCTCTCTCTCTGTCAGCGTCCTCCTTCCTCCCTCCTCACCCCCCCTCTTCCTCCCCCTCTTCCTCCCCCTACCCCTTCCCTCTCGCTCTCCTCATAGACCTGGCGCGACCCCAATCAGGGGTCGTCTGTCTTCTCAAGGATTTTTACGAAGCTCTGGGCAATACAAAGCAATCTATTGGAAAGAATTGCTTGGCATTTCTTTGCGATGCTTGGCATTGCTTGGCGTTGCTTGTCATTGCTTGGGGAACAAAAACCAAACCGCGAACAGCCAGCGCTCACCAGAACGGCCCCAGCGCTCACCAGAACAGGAGGAGTGCTCATCAGAACAGGGGGCGAACGGGTGGAGCGGAATGTGCAGTCCGCGCTCTCGGGAACACTTCCTGCGCTCTTGAGAGCAAGGCGGCAGTGCAGGGTGAGGGGCTAGAGGATGAGGAGGAGGAGGACGTCGGATCCGACCAGGAGCTGGACTTGCTTGGGGCTCGACGAGGAAGAGGTACCGATATCGCCGCCCTTCCCTCGCTTTCGCTTTTTTTCCCTCCTGGGAGGCCCTCGTCGCCGCGGCTGCTCCGTGCCCATTTCGGCTCGAGCGGCGGCCCGCCGGTTCGCCCGCGGGGCGGAGCCGCAAGTCTCTGGAGCGGACCTGCGGCGCCCGCGCTGCTCCCTCCGCTGCTCCTCCTCCTCCTCGTCCTCTTTTCCCCTCCCTCGCCCCTGGTTTCCCCCCTCCCTCGCAGGCCTTCCCCCCCCGCCCCTCGCGCGCCGACAGCGTGCCGGTGCTGCGGCGGCGCGGCGGGTGTTTCCCTGCCTGCGGCGGGTTGGCATGGGCAACAACGGTCTCAGCTGCGAGTGCCAGGATGACGTGCGCACGCGGGGCGACACCAAGCCCAACGCGCGGGGCCGCCAGGTCTCGATGGAGGAGGACACCGTTGCCCTGACGAGCGACACCGCCTCGTCCTCGAAGCTCGACTCCAGGCACGGCGGCGGCGGGCAGAGCGGCGCCGCGTGGTCCCACGCGGAGGAGTGCTTCCTCCCTCCTCCCTCCTCCTCCTCCTCCTCCTTGTTCTCCCCCTCCTTCCGTAGCCATTGTGGCTCGAATCCGAAGCAAGGAGGCTTACATATTTGGGTGTTGCAAGGGGGAGGTGCGCCCCCACCTGCGATCCCTGGCTGACGGTCAGGGCCTTTCTCCTCTCACGGCTCTTGGGAGCCTACGTTCTGTGCCGAGGGTATTCTCTTCGTTCAGTGAGCTCCTGTCGGAGCCCATGGGTATGGGTGCCAAGGGCTAACTCGCTGGCTCAACGTGCAGGTGTCATCATCGGAACTGGAAGTGCCTCACTTTTTTTGACTTCAGCTGCAATTTCACCCTGGTGCCTCAGGATATGCTATGGCGTACACCCTCTCAGCAGGTCTGGTCGAACGGAAAGGATGTGGAGGCCAGGTTACACATGCGCCGCCAGGCGCATGGCAGTGGGAAGAAGCGCCAGGGAAGTGGGCAACCAGGGAGCGGCGGAGCGTAAGGCCCCAGTAGGGTGTGGCAGTTCCCCGAAGCCCTCGGACCCCCCCCGCTGGTGACGGGGCCCCACAATTCATTATCCGGGCGAAGGACCCAGCCATAAGTAGTTGTGAATACCGCCGCTGCGAGGACCGCATTCGGTCGAGCTCCCTATGAGTCCACAAAGCACGCGAAGGGAGGGCCGAATTGGGGCGGGGCCGCCGTTCGAGCGCTGCCGCTGATGCCTTAGATTGAGCTCGCGATAGGGCCCGGAAGCGCGCGAGGGGCGCGTCGACACGAGCGAGAGGCATGCGAATGCCGCGACGGCGATCAGACGAACGACACATGGATGAATGTATGCGTACATGCATGCATGCATGCATTTATGTATGTATGTATGTAGGTACGTACGAATGTAGGTATGCATGCCTGCATGTATGTATGCACGTAAGTAAGCATCATTGCATGCCTGTATGCATGCATACATGTATGTGTGCGTGTATGCATTTATGTATACGAACACGCATGCATGCATGCATGCATGTAATGTAATGTAATGTGATGTAATGTGATGTAGTGTAATGTATTGTATTGTAATTTATGTATGTATGTATGCATGTATGTATGTATGTAGGTAGGTAGGTAGGTAGGTAGGTAGGTATGTAGGTATGTATGCATGTATGTATGTATGTATGTATGCATGTATGTATGTATGTATGTACGTGTGTATGTATGTATGTATGTATGTATGTATGTATGTATGTATGTATGCATGTATGTATGCATGCACGTATGTACGTACGTATGTATGTATGTATGTATGTACGTACGTACGTACGTATGCTTGTATATATGTATGTATGTATGTATGTATGTATGTATGTATGTATGTATGTATGTATGTATGTATGTATGTATGTATGTATGTATGTATGTATGTATGTGTGTGTATGTATGTATGTATGTCTGTATGTCTGTATGCCTGTCTGTCTGTCTGTCTGTCTGCCTGTCTGTCTGTCTGTCTGTCTGTATGTATGTATGCATGTATGTACATATGCATGCATGTATGTATGTATGTATGTATGTATGTATGTATGTATGTATGTAGGTATGTATGTATATTCTATGCGTGCATGTCTTTCCTCATCCCGTCACTGGTCCAGGCCGTCGATGTTAGAACGTTTCCGTGGCTTTTTGGGTTCAAGAATTCGTACCAAGGCAGTGCGAATGGATTACCTGCTCCCTGCCGCCCAGTACGCTTGGCAGGGAGCGCTCGCATATCTCTGGGGCGGCAACCTGCAGAGGTGCCCGTCCGTCCACGTCCCCGCCTGTCCTGCCATACCGAGCTGCGTGTGTCCGCCGTGCCCTGGCTGCCCGGCGTGCCCAGGGGGCTCCCCTGCTCCCGCCACGCCCTCGGCGAACGGCGGGGGCAGCGGTGAGCCGAAGCAGCCCTCCTCCTTCTGGTCAGTGGTGCTGGTGAACGAGTTCCTCCTGCTGGGCCTGGCGCTGACCTACGGCATCCTGTCGTGGAACCGTGTCGGGTTGACGTGCTGCCGACGCAATGCTGGCCGTGCAGAGCGTGTGGCCAGCGGAAGCAACGCCTCATGGGATGCTCCAGTGGGCGTGGGGTACGCTACGAAGGAGAGCCATTGTGGCACCAGCGTCTGATCTTAGGGCGGCGGGTCCGGACACCACTGGAGAGAGTCACTGAGTGGATGGTGCTCATCTGTACGGTGGACACCGACATCTATGAGGAGGACTATTCATGCCAGGGAAGAGACATCATTGCTGTGAAGTTCACATCAGATCGTGCGACCTTCCCGCCTGGTGTTGGTGCTGCCAACTCGTACAGGTTCAGGCGGAACCTCACGGCGGTGGAGATGCAGCAAATTGACCAGACCGCGCTGGACTACTGCACCGCCGCCCTGGTCGCCGACCACCAGCGCCTGCGGCTGCCTGCGCCCGGCGGGCCGTTCCTCGTGCCGCTGACCCTCGGCCCTGCCGGGGCCCTGGCGCGGGCGCCGCGCCGCCGCCGCAGGCGCCGCGCCCCCAGTGGCCGCCGCGCTGGCCGCCCCAGTGGCGTTGCCCGCCGGCGTCCTGGCGGCGCCTCCCCCTGCAGGCGGAGCGGCCCCTGGCGGCGCGGCCGCGGCTGGACCGGGGGCTGCGGCCCCAGCGGCCGAGGCAGCTGTGTGGGTGCTGATCGAGTCGACCACGGCGGGCCGGCGTGGGACGGTTGTGATCCCGCCCGCTGGATCGGACCTCCGTGGGGCCGTCGGCTTGATGCCTCAGGCTGATGGGACGTGGGTTGCCATCCGTTCGATCTCCGAGCCCGCGCAGACCTACGCGGGGCGGGGGGCCGCCTCGGACGCCAGGCTGATGAGCATCGTCGCGAACCCAGCGGTTCCGGGCGGCAGGCTCTTGAGGCAGTGGCGCGATGCGGTGGCCAGCTTCACAGAGGAGTCGTTCGTGGACTGGTGCATCCCTGGCCCCCGCGCGTGTTTCTGGTGCTGCAAGTTCATAGACCGACGCCAGGGCGGGCCGCTCGATCATTTCAGGTTTCTGGAGGTCCACCCTGGGGCTGTCGACTGAGGACTACGGTGTCAGCGACTGCGAGGCGAGTATGCGGGCCATCCACGCCCTCGCCTGCTGGGGCGGCCTCGACCTGCCGAACCTGGCGGGGGCGGAGCAGATGTTCAGGAAGTGCCAGATGTATGAGTACGTGTACGTCATGGATCGGGGCCCTCACCGCAGTGCGTCCTTCGGCGGAGACGGAGGCGGCGAGGGGGGCGATAAGAAGAAGAACCGAGGCCGAGGGTGTGGCGGCGGGCGCCATGGCCCGCTGAGCTTCGGGTTCATCGACGAGAGCGCCGTCTTCACTGGTCTCAGTCGAGACCATTGGGAGAGCATGATCTGCCCTCTGCTCCTCGAGCACGTGGCGATGGAGGTGGAGAGGGATGCTTCGGTGCTGAAGCAGGTTCGCAAGGCCCGCGAGGAGCAGCGGGCCTTGCGATCATGGCGAGTTCACGACCACGCGTGCCGCTACCCCCCGGCGGTGCGCGCGTTTTCGGAGGGGGGCCCAGCGGCGGTGGCCCGCCGCCTGCTGGTGAGTTGTACTCATCGGGCGATCGTGCTGGGCGACAGCGTGATCTATTTTCACTGCCAGTGCCCGGTCAACAGCATCGGGCAGCTTCGGAGGCGCATGGCATCGCTTGTTCACGTTCGGTGGCGCGTCGGGCAAGGGCCACGCCAATTCGATGGGGGGCGAGATCGTTCGGACCCTCAGCGCGCTGTGCCTTGGCCAGCCCTGGCACCCCGTCAGCCATCCTCAGTCCATCACTGCGGGCCAGCAGCGGGCCTTGGACAACGTGCGCGACGCAGTCCGACGGTTCGGCGCTCCCCCGGAGGGATTGACTGGCAGAGGGGCCCTTGAGGAGCTCCGAGTTCTCAGCGACTATGCTGGCGAGAGTGCCACCGTCGCTCGCTCCGCCACGAGGGCTTCAAGCCAGTGCCGCTTGACGCGCTGGGGGGTGTTGCTGGCCGCAGGAAAGTCGAGCGGCTTCATGATATGATGTTGCCCCAGTCTGAGGGTCGAGCTCGGATCGAGTCCGAGGGCCCCCGGAAGCTCTACGCCGACCCGGCGCTGAGGAACCCCGAGCTGTATGTCCAGCTGGTGCGGATCCTCGAGCGTCGGAATCTTCTCGATTTTTACAACGACAAGTGTTGTAGCGTAGGTGTCTTTTTCGTTTGCAAGAAGTCGGGCAGGCTGCGGCTCATCCTGGGCGGCAGGCGCGCATCCCTGCACTTCCAGGTCCCCGACAAGGTCGCTCTCGCGTCGGGGGCGACCTTCGCCGGCCTCCACGTGGAGGGGGGCAAGCCCATCGCGGTGGCGGAGGTCGACCTGGCAGATGCGTTCTACACGATGCTGCTGCCGCCGAAGTTCAGGAGGTACTTCGCGCTGCCTGGCTGCCGCGCCGGGGTGCTGGGCCTCGAGAGCACCGCGGACGGGCGGCGCCTGGCCGGGGCCGACCTGGTGTACCCATGCTCCAGGTGCCCCCCGATGGGCTGTTCCTTCAGCCTGTGGATTTGCCAGACGATGCTGGAGGGGATGGCCCTGAAGGCGCCCCAGCTCTCCCTCGCGAACCGCTTCGTGGACCGCCGACCTGCGCCGCAGGTATCCGAGGGTGTGATTCACGCCGAGTACGTGGACAATGCGATCAGCCTCTCGACCAACTTGGAGACGGCGGCCGCCGCCGCGTCGGCCGTGGACTCGAATCTTCGTGCGGCGGGGCTCCCCACCCACGGAGTTGACTGTAGTTTTGACGCCGTGGCGCTGGGCTGGCAGTTCGACGAGAAGTTCCCGATCATCGGGCTGAACCCAGCGCTCCGGTGGAAGCTGAGGCTGGCTTTCTTGGAACTGTGCCAGAGGGGATATGCCTCGGGCAAGACGATCACGCGCGTGGTGTCCCACTTCGCCTCGCGGGGTCTGATTCGCCGCGAGCTTTTGTCAGCTCTCAACTCGCTGTGCGTTTTT